CGCGGCCCAAGCACAAGGGAGGGGGAAGACGGCCCAAGAGGTAGGCGTCAACCACGTGGCCACCGCCTACCGGCTGGTTGAGGCAGAGGCCACGCCTGGCCAGGTCAAGGCTTTATGGCGCTGCCAGCTCGGCCATGAGGCAGCGGCCGCCATCTCCGGCCAAGACAAGGCGAGCTAAGCGGGCGATGCGATGTGTGAGAAGATGGCGAATGCGGTAGGGTAGCTAGAAGGGGTGGAGAAGAGAAGGAAGGTGACTTCCATGGCGGCCGAAAGCACGGCGGGCGCCATGGTCCGTTGGTGGCGTGGCTTGAGGCAAGTGCTACTGGGTCGGCAATGGGCAGCAAACGCGAGCACGACTTGAAGGAGAGCGAGGCGGAGCTGTGGGGCGTGCTTGCCGGGCCGAGTGGAGGAGCCACGCGACGAATTCGCCGTGAGGCGTGGGCACCACGCGAGAGGCAGAGTTGGGGCGCCGGCTCAAGCGGAGAGGAGAGGCAACGGGAATGAGAATGAGCCACAGCGAGCGGCAGTGTGGCGGGTGCGTGGGTCGGCATGGCGCGATGCACGCTGCGGCGGCGGCGGACGGCGCATGGCCGCCACACACGGGCAAGCTCTGCCATTTGGCAGCATGGGCGTGGCATGTGCAGGTAAGGCTGGATGAGGCAGAAGCGTAGCTGACGGGCACTGGGCTGGGCCGAGCGAGGCGAAGGCGGCTTGGAGGCTGGGTGGGCCGACTTCAACCGTGGGCAGAAGAAGTGAGGCGGCTGAAGGAGAAAAGGTCCTTTTCCAAATATATTTTCAAGGATTTTTACATGCCATCTTTCAAATATTATTTTGAGCAAGACAATGACATCTTTTGAAAATGTACCAAAAATGAAAGTTGATTAGAATTTAATTTTCTACAACTTTGCTTTTATGACCACACCAAATTCTTTCTAGATTTTGAATTGTAAGGTCAAAGTCCACGTTTAACTCAAAACCCTAATTTTTTGGGAATTTATTTTTGAAGCCAAATTTTGAATTAATTTGAATACAAACTTTGCTCCAAAAATTGAACTAAACATTGCTAGATGATTTACAATAGTAGCCAAACATGTTTCACTAACCTAGCAAGCAAAATCAGGCAAAACAACTCTTAAAACAGTGTATGCAACATTCTGTGTTTCACACATGTTTCAAATGTTTCAAGCAAAGTTGTTTCAATTGTTATTTACATGATTAGGCATGTATGATTAGGATGCTTGATGATGCATGATATGTATGATTAGCAAGTGCGAAATGCGGTGCATAACACCGGGTGTTACAGTCAGTATATATACCTTTCCATTTCCTCGCCAACGGCTATCTCGATTTAAAGTAACCGCTAAGTCGTGGGGTATATATATACCTTTCCCCTTCCTTTTCAACGGTAATGAACCAATCTACTCTCTTCTTTCTCACTTCAGCACGCCCAAAATAGAGCTGGAGCTCTCTCTCTCACTCCATTACTAACCTAAAGCCCCCAAGCAAATCTATTGATTTTTCCATCAATCCTTGAGGGAAAAAGGGTCCAAAACTTGATTAGAGAGCAACTCCATTGATTCCCAAATTCTAAAGAGAACTTGATTCACGTTTTAGCCGACAGTTGTGTTTGTTACTCTTGAAGCTTGTCTCCTAGCCGGCTAGAGCATCGCCTGTGAGGCTTGCCAACTTGTGTGCCAGCCCCAGGAGGTTTGTAATCACCTCTTACAGCAAGTAAAATCACTCCTCATATCAAGAGTTCACTCTCTTGACTTGAGAACGAGGTAGGGTTGCACAACCCTATCACCTTAGTGGTATACCTCAACAACATGAACTTAGGCAAGCCTTGGTGGTGAGCTGAACCACACGATAAATCCTTGTGTCATCTTGTGCTTGTGTTGCTACGCTTGTGTTCTTATTGTTGTTGAGGTGATTTCTAGGATTGAGGTCGATCTACTTGTGTGCGGTGTTCCCACCACTTTTAGCTGTCGATCTGTGATCTACTACCCTGCAGGAAGCTAATCAATTTACCCGATCTAAATTTCGTTGGGAAGATTTTGAACTGTGAACTAATCTCTCCTGTAGGTGCGGTAGTGCCGCGCTCACAGAGCGGCAGTGCCATGGGTGAATCTGACTTCGGTTTGAGTTAAATTTTTATAGGCCTATTCACCCCCTCTAGGCGTACCAGAGATCCTACATACATACATTTCTTGCAGCGGATAATACTTTGTATGATATATTACATGCCTTTAGATCTCAAAATTGCATATATATTGTCATTTGATCCACTTCTAATGTCAGCGTAGCTTATGTCAGTTATGTATTAATGCTTTTGCTCATATTTCCAAGATTTCAGATATTGGAATGTGAGAGGTGTTGACATTGAGCTAGAAACCCGATGTATAGAAAGCGCAATAAAAAATGGATAAGAACAAAAACTGAAAGATATATACAGAGTATGCATACTTGGTAGCACCTTTTCAATTACTCTACAATCCTAATTAAGTAAAAAGTAATAAAATCAAAATGCAATTAGTGCAAAGAAGCACACAAGCTTCATTTCAAGATTTTCACTTTGCTAGTGAGAAACCTTCCACCACAACCCTATTTTCAAAAGCTGGACCTTACTTTGCTTTAGCCCTAAACTACAAAAGGTAGTCATAGAGCAATCAATCAAGAAGGACATCAAGTAATTGTTTTTTCATTTAGAATAAGAGGTTATTTAGTAACCAACACATTCTACCGTGAAGCGTCATCACAGTCTATTCTTATCAACGCACAAGGGACGAAACACCTTTTACAATCTATTATTGAGCTAATTAAGTATACTAACCAAGAGCCACAAGACAAACTTACCAATGCAATAAATGGTGAGAACCAGTCATCTATCATCTTGGTTTTTCAAAGACAGATCCTGAATTTGCTTTAGTCTCCAAATGAGCCCTCTGTAAACATATTATATCTGTTCATCTTTGTTTTCTAATCTTTTGTCGTTTTTTTTCTAAATCGTGAACTCGCATGTATAGTTGATCCCTAGGCAAGATCTTGTGAATTGCATGCATATTGATCCCTAAGCAATAGCACATATAACAACTGAACTCAAACAATGCTTAGATTAGTAGGCACATAGGAAGGAAAGAGAGGGCACAACAGAAGGGATGAGACAGTGGTGGGCGACTCGAGGAGCAAACGCAGATCGACGTGGGCTGTGCAGCCAGCCGAATCAAGGCCCTCATAGGGCCGCCTGTGTGGGTTGCCGCGCTTAAAGGGCGTAATGGGGCACCTGTGTTTGGTCGGGCGATTGTGTCAAGTGGGTCGCACACGCCGGGCGACTCACGACGCAACCGAGCCAAGTAGGAAGCACAGGCAGCTAGGGTTTCGTGTAGCGCACGGGACCGGAGCGGAGAGAAGGTCGTGTCTGGGTGAAGACGCCGCGGTAATGCACCGGCGGGCCCGGGTCACACGACGCGCTGGGTTGGGGGAGGAGCAGGCGGGCAAGCTGGTGGTGGCCGCCTTGCCGCATCGCGAGGGAGGGAGAGAGAGAGCGGAGAGGAGAGAGAAGGGGAAGGAGAAGTAGAAGCTCGATATATATTTGTCTCATTGAATTCGAATGAGAAGGAGGAGAAGCCAAAGGTAAACGGTGGAGAAGCCGTAGAAGCTAGAAAAAATAGCGAGAAGTTACTGTCCACGGAATCCGTCCCAAACATTTAGAACCACGTGATTGGAGATGCAGAATTTTAGGATGACCTCGTGGAGTGGTGTTCCGTATAATAGCACTACGGGTACTCTACAGGTTGAAAACATAAAAATATAAAAACGCATTTATTTCACTCCCCCGGGCTCAGACCCTGAAATCAGATAAAATCCACTCTCAGCTCCAACGTCCCCCAGTCTCCATTATTCTTCCTTCCTTCTCTCTCTCTCTCTCTCTCTCCTCCCCCACCGCCCCACGCTCTTCCCCCTCCTCCCTCGTCGCCGGTGACCCCTGCGGAGCCGCGTGGATACCTCGCCGGGGAGATCTGTCTGCCGTCTCTGCGGGCAGGTATCAAATCCGGAGCGTGGTTACTGGCAAGCACTGCATTCGGCCTCCCGCTCCTCCACGCGCGCGCCCGGCCTCCCTACAAGGCTCTGGCTCTGAAGACTTCTGAACACTAAACCAAGCTCCCTGCGCTGCTACGCAACGCGGCCGACCCTTCCTTCCGCCGATACTACCCGTGCTGGATCCTCTGTCTAGTGCTGCCGCTGCCGGCGCTTCTCATCCTCACTCTAGCGGAGTGGAGATCCGTCCGGGCGTGGATTGATTTCTTCTTTTCTGGGTGAGTGGTCTTAGCTTGTTTGAGTGGATGCTCGGAGAGGTCGTTTTCTTGGAACTCATCCTTCGCTGTGGCCATGAGCAATCAAATCGAGCATTAAGTTGTGGATTTATGTTTTCCGTCGCGCTAGGTCCGACTAATCCCGTTCATCCATCTGTGCCTCGGCTAGGTTCTTCAGCGCGCAAGATCGTTCTCTCCCTGCCCCCACCCAAAAAAAAGTCCCATGGCCCACGCTAAAAGTCCATCCCTGAACCTGCCGACATCATATTTTTCTTCTTTTATTTTTGGGCACAAGAATAGTCAAATGCTGCTCACTGGGTAATTGGCGCCTTACATTTGTTCAAAAATGTGTGAATTTGGTGAAGAAAAAAAATTATTGGGCTCCAAGTGGCTGGAAATCTCAAAATTTGCAGAGGGAACGTCCCTTTCAGTGGGCTGTTTATTGTTTATGGGAGCCAAAATTTATTCTTCGTGAACAGTGTATTGCGGGCTTGCGAGTAGATTTTAACTCTTCCATTTCTGCTAGTAATAGCTGGACATTTGATTTGCCCCATTCTACAATGGCCAGCCCTGTTCTTTCCTTTTAGCCTAAGAAAAGGCCTTGAGAAATATTCAGAGTGAAATGCTAATGTTATCTGTTTTTCTTGTGATTCTTGCAGTCAGATGTTGGAGCTCAGGTAGTAGCCAACGATGGAAGCAATGGAGGCCGAAGAAGATCCTTTTCTGGCTAGTGATGCCAAGGTATCATCTTTACAGTGAATATGTCTGGTATTCCTGTTAATCTGTTGCTTGCCTACCTTTTGTAAGTACAGTACATCTTAAAAACCTGTTATGTTTGTTGATCAATGAGAGTTGCCTTTTCTTTTCCATATTCTTTAGGTAGTATTTGTTTCAATGGTTAGTACAATCACAACGCTTTGATTTCTATAAGGTTCCTTTTTCTTTAAAAACTAATTTGTACTGTATTGAGCAAACACTATACTTGTACTGTATTAAGTTACTGGGACCTTATAGCTTTCCGTTTTGTGATTTGCTTAATTTCGCAGCGAATCTGAAGAAATTTTGGTTTTTATGCAGTTGCACGCAGGAATTTGTAGAGCATTTCATCCTTCTGTATCTAAGCTTTCCGCCATTTTCCCCTTTATCGAAGCATCAAGACCCAGAAGCAAGTCTGGTATACAGGCCTTGTGTTCACTACATGTAGCTCTTGATAAAGCCAAAGGGCTTCTTCAACATTGTGCAGACTGCAGCAGACTCTACTTGGTAACTTCTTTATTCCCCTTGCCCTACTACTACTGCAACAAACTTATTTCATTTGTAAGGCATTTCTTCTGGAAATTTTTGCAATCGGATCAATTTTTTAATAGATATTATATTTCACTTGTAGGCCATCACTTCGGAAACTGTGCTTTTAAAGTTTGAGAAGTCTAGAAGCCAGCTTCAGGAGAGTCTAAGGCGCGCTGGAAGCATAGTAACAGAAGATATCGGCTGTAAGGTATATTGTGCATAAAACTCATGTAGTCAATATCTTTGGTTCACCAATCTTTCACGTTTTGCTTTTGTGGCTTATGGTTTTGCGATTATTACAGTGCATGGTATGTACTGACATCCTGGACATGTTTCTGTACAGCTTGTGGAGATTGTTGGTGAGCTGGAGGAAATTGTTTTTACATTGGATAGATCAGAGAAGGAAGCTGGTGACAAGCTGATCAATTTGCTCCAGAGAAACAATAAAACAAATGGTTCCAGTGATAGTGGGGAGCTTGAGGTCTTCCATATGTCTGCTCTTAAATTGGGAATTACATCTTCTAGGGCAGCACTCACCGAGAGAAGAGCCCTTAAGAAGCTAATTGAGAAGGCTCGTTCTGATGAAGACAAGCGGAAGGAGCTTGTTGTGTCATACTTGTACAATCTCATGAGGAAGTACTCAAAGTTCTTCAGAAGTGAGACTGGTGATGATACAGATTCTCAGGGATCGTCTCCATGCTCGCCAACAGTATTAGGCATGGATGATATGTATGGGCCGTACAGCAATGGTCGGGCATTCAGTAGACAGCTTTCGAGCATTCAGTCGTTCAATTCAAGGTTTGGATCTTTCAATTCTAGGCTTGGACCATTCAATTGCAGACGTGGTGGTGGTCCAAGGTCTGAGAATATGTCAATCCCTCCTGAAGAGCTTAGGTGCCCTATTTCGTTACAACTCATGTATGATCCAGTCATCATTTCATCTGGGCAGACTTATGAGCGTATTTGCATTGAGAAATGGTTCAATGATGGTCACAGCACATGTCCTAACACAGCAGCAACTTGCCCACCTGTCATTGACTCCAAACTACTGTGTTAAGGCCCTGATTGCCAGCTGGTGTGAGCAGAACGATTTTCCAGTTCCTGATGGTCCACCAGGAACTTTTGATGTAAATTGGAGGCTTGCTTTCTCTGACACTGAGGCTACAGGTTGTGTGTCTGTTGAAAGTTTTGATTGTACTAATGCAAAGAGTGTCAAGCTTGTCCCAATGGAGACTGTTAGAAAGGAGGAGCCAGCAAACAGTGAATCGGAGACGCTGGATGACAGCTCTTGTAATGATTTCGATTTGAACGAGGGCTATGGGAACTTGCTTCTGTTGCTTCATGAAAGAAGTAACATGAACAAGCAGTGCAGGTTGGTGGAGCAGATAAGGTATCTTTTGAAAGACGACGAGGAAGCAAGGATCCAGCTGGGCTCAAATGGCTTTGCCGAGGCACTGGTTGAGTTCTTGAGGAATGCTGTGAATGATGGAAATGAGAAGGCACAAGAAGTTGGTGCAATGGCTCTTTTTAATCTTGCAGTCAACAATAACAGGTATTATTTCCTAGTTGTGTGGTGCTCGCTGATTGTTGCTAGTTGAAAATACGCAGAGTATATCACTACTTAAACTTAGTGAAGTATTTTTGCCTAGCATTTTTCTTATCAAAACCCTTTCTTATTTCAGAAACAAGGGACTCCTGTTATCTGCTGGAGTCGCCGATCTACTTGAACAGATGATATCGAATCAACTCCTATCTGGTCCTGCCACAGCACTCTACCTTAATCTCTCCTGCCTTCCTGATGCAAAGGCCGTCATTGGTTCGAGCCAGGCCGTGCCATTCCTAGTCGACCGTCTGTATAGCCATGATGCCAGCGACACGAAAGGAAGCTCCTGCAAGCATGACGCCTTGTACACGCTGTACAACCTCTCGAATCACCAGGCCAGCGTCCCGGCGCTTCTAACCGCAGGCATTGTGGATGCTCTCCACTGCCTCGTCACGGACTCTCCAGAGTCGGAGGGGCTTGGTTGGACAGAGAAGGCTCTTGCGGTGCTCATCAGCCTCGCAGCCACCCAATCTGGCAGGAAGGAGATCATGTCCACCCCCGGTTTGGTCAGCACGCTAGCGACACTGCTGGACACAGGCGAGCCGACAGAGCAGGAGCAGGCGGTGTCGTGCCTCCTGGTGATGTGCAGCGCCGACGATAAGTGCATCGCGCCGGTGCTCCAGGAAGGGGTGGTCCCGTCCCTGGTCTCCATCTCGGCGGCCGGGACGGGGAGGGGCAGGGAGAAGGCCCAGAAGCTCCTGAAGTTGTTCAGGGAGCAGAGGCAGCGGGATGCGCCGCCGCCCCAGCAGCCCCAGCAGCAGCAGCAGCAGCTGCTGCAGAGCCAGCTGGCGGAGGGCGGGAACGGCGGCGGCGGCGCTATCGTGTGCCACCGGGAATCGAAGCCGCTGTGCAAGTCCAAGTCCAGGAAGCTGGGCAGGACGCTGAGCTCACTGTTTAAGAACAGGGGTTTCTCGCTGTACCAGTGCTAGGGTGCTAGAGTAGTGTTTGAGTTGATGAGTGGGTATGTACATCTTCTGTCTTGTTTTTCCACCTGGTCTTTTTCTTCTTCTTCATCTCTGGGTTATTGTTTTGTTTGGGGTGAAAAAGAGAGTAAAACCTTGATGTTCTTCCCCCTCCTCGGTGGGGGGTGATGTAGGGCATTTTCCAGTTTGTCAAGAGATGTGTACAGTTGTTTCTTCTTCGGTCTCTGATACTCTACCCCCTTTTCAGATCAGACGCTTCTCCCCCTTGAAAACCCAACACGACTTGCAGCTTGCAAGCAACTGTTTGTTTCTCCAGCCTTAATGATTACTCTTTGCACGAAGATCGTCCTGCTCGTTTGGGCTTGTTTTATTGATAAGTCGCTGGTCAAAAGATCTTGTTACTGATTTGGTGTGAGAGGAAAATACCGTTCATTGGCTGAAAAAGACGCGAACTTATAAGTTCAAATGTTTTCAAACGAACATGGCGTAGATAGTACTAGTACTTATGGGAACTAAGCTTACGTCCTGTTCGTTTAAACTTATGAGCTAGTATGAGCCTAGCTTATGAGTCATGATACAGCGACAAAAATCTAACCAGAGGTCTAGATGCCAGAGCTGAGAACAGGCTTGCTGATCACTGAAAGACAGGTGATGCTCCAGAAATCTGCTGGCTAGGCTAGCGCACTGCTGCGTGTGGCGACAATGTAGGGTTGGGTAAGATTGACAGCAAGTGAGGCGAGCAGAGCTGGAGAAGGACATTGACACCAGGTCGCAGATGGAAGGGAAATAATGGCATCCGCACATCCTGCCGACAGGAGCGAACGTACGGAGCTGAGAGCCACACGGAATCGACGCCATGCTCGTTGGCGCCTCGGCCCCGACATCACAGGGCCCCGGACCCCGAGTGGCTAGGCTAGCTGGGCGGACTGTGTTGGATCCATCTCCTTGCCTTTGCAGTTTGCGCAGCTCAGTCGATCAACTGCCCTCCTGCTGCTTTAATCTCCGTCCACCCACGACCACGAGGTTAATCTGAAAGCCACGGGTCAGGCGGTCATCAATTATTTGTGGCGGGAAAGCAAGAAGAGAGCAGGGCAGCGCAGCGGCAACGGCTCCGATCCGATCGACCGAAGGCAAGGCAAGGCGAGGCCTCCACGGCTCCACTCAACCGAGCGAACGGTAGAAATTTTTTTGGAAGAGCAAAAGAGGCCCCCGCGGAAAAAGGCGTGCGCTGCGCCCACCACGGCCGCGAGAGAATCCAATTCCTTCCAATTCCAGCCCCACGTCCCCCCTCTGCCCGCTTTGTTTTACATTCCTTCCATCCCGTCCCATTTGCAGCTCCTTCCGTGCTCGCTGCGTCCTCCTGCTTCCACCCTTCCGTGCCCGGCACCGGCAGCCGGCAGGGGCAGGAGAGGATCGCCACCGCCGCCCCGGCCCCGGCGGATGTCGGATCGGGAGCTCCGCCCTCTGCGCTCCATCAGTATGTTCCAAGCGCCAATCATTCCCTGCGTGTTTCTTTCTAGCACTAAGAATATGCTTCTTTCTTTTTGGTGTCGATCGGTGATCGAAATCGGGCCGATGATTCCTTGCTCCTTCTGGTAGCGGTTCCTGGCTTGTTTATGGTTCAGAGATCGTTGGTTTTGGACGCGATCAGGAACAAAGTGGCTGCATCATTGCTGATTATACAAAAGACACCCTAACAATGATAAGCTACCAATGGTGTAGCAGCAATATGCCTTTTCTATCTCTACATATATTCCCTTTTCCACCAATCCTTTTGCTTGTGTATGTGTGTATAACGGTATACTATGGTAGCAGTTCTGAAGCTGCATCAGAGATCGAAGTGGGTCCTTGCTTTGCTAAAAAAATCAGAGATCAGAAACCAGATCGACAAAACAAATTATCTCCACCTGAGAATCCACGCTACTGCCCCCGTTCGCTTCGCTGAAAAAACAAGCCGAAACACTGTTTCCGGCTGATTTGTTGTGAGAGAAAAATACTGTTCCGTCTGAAAAAAACAAGCTGAAAAGTATGGATTATAAGACAAGCGAACATGGCACTCCCCCATGGAGGTTTCAATCGTCAAGATGTTCTGGTTTACAGAACATACCTTATGAATTGAACTGATGCTGCCCTCACGTTTGATTACAGGAATCACAGGGGACGGTCGATGCCTGTTCAGGTCCGTCGCTTATGGCGCCTGCTTGAGGAGAGGAAAGCATCCTCCGAGCGACAGCGCCCAGAAGGAACTGGCTGACGAGCTTCGAGCCAAAGTGAGTGTCCATCACCTGGGCTTCTGATTATTATAAGTGCATCCTTGTTCAATGCATTTCGAAAGAATTCTGAAATGTTGCGCGTTGCGGTCTTCTTGTATTTCCACGTCTGTATTATTGTTAACCTGCTGTTGTGTCTGTTCCAGGTAGCTGACGAGTTTGTCAAGAGAAGAGGAGACACTGAATGGTTTCATCCTCTTTCCATTATTACTTTACTGATATATTGCCTGGACAATTTTTCTCCACTGGGAGTAAACAGGAAAAGAATATGTTCAAAATAATATATTCTCATACGGCTACTTTACACCTTTGTTGATAAAAGTCTTTCAAAGTACTGTCATCCTTAAAATTCTATGTCAAAAGAATACGCTTTAGCTTCAAATATACAAAGACGACTATGTCACATTAACTCTTTTTTGATGTTATAGGTTCCTTGAAGGCAACTTTGAGAATTATGTGAGACAGATGAGAAAGCCTCATGCTTGGGGAGGAGAACCTGAGCTGTTCATGTGTTCCCATGTTCTCAGGTTGGCGGCCAACTTATCTGTGCTAAGTGCAGCCTTTTGTTCATTATGGTTAGTGGGAACTGAGAAATGCTGCATTGCAGGATGCCCATCACCGTTTACATGTATACAAGCAGCTCTGATGGCCCTAGGATTATAGCAGAATATGGCCAGGAATATGGAAAGGACGATCCAGTCCGCGTTCTCTATGACGGTTATGGACACTACGACGCACTTCAGCCATCTGTTGTAAGAACACAATCAAGACTGTAAGTACAGCACTGTACAAAATCTGACAATAAGCAGACTTTGCACTGCTAAATTACATTGTGGCTTCAGTATTCTATTCTTATCTCGGAACCAATAACCCCCCTGTAAAATTGCAGGCGAGGTGTGTAGATAACCGGGGACTGCGGTACCTAAGCTTCTTCTATAGGACAGCTGCATAACTGTGAGCAGCTCAAGATTTAACGATGCTATTTTGCTCCAATTCGACACAACCATAGAGCAAATATGAAATTATACCTGGCTTGACTGTACCGACCTGTTCTGTTCTTCAACGTTTGATGTATAAATAAAAAAAAAAACTCGAGAACCAGTCAGAAAATCAGTTGAGCTACCTGGTACCATGCCCAGCATCAAGTGATCATGTAAAGTTTCCTCAATCATTTTGCACAACAGAATGCCTCTAGGGAGTATATGAGCGCGAGCAGAATATTCTTTTGCTCAATTCGATACAAAGGTTCTCTAGGAAGGCTGCATAAAAAAGCTGAATGCTCAAGTTCTCATCATCTTAAAATTCTCTTGGACTTGTATAGGATGCCATGAATGTTCAGTGCTCATACTGGTCCTGAGTTACGGTCGTGTCAAAATCTAGTATTCTGCAAAAATGAGCTCGGTGAAACATGAGCACACATGATATTCCTACAATAATTTCATCAGCAACAATCCCAATTGCGTTGAAAGGGAGGACTTTTTACACATAAGCCACCGCGTCACAGTAATTAAATTACAATGGCCTACTTGTCATCTCCTAGTCTTGAAGCCGTTGACAATAAGTCACTAATCCATGGTACAGCCAAGAAAGAGGAAGCTGAGTAAGCCGCTCGACATGTGACGCAGTTCTGCAGCCTGATCTTCTGAAGCAACAACTCTGGTTTGACAATCGCATTGTTACAACATAAAACCCTCCTCCATCTGCTTCTCCAGCATCAGCAGCTCTTGTTGCCAAGGCAGCAACAGTTTGCTTGGTCGTGTTTTAGCTTCTGCAAGGACCCATTTTTAGCATAGTAAGAGAGATATTTTTGTTTGTAGGTATGGCACAAATATTAGTTTGGTTTGAAAACAAGTGGAATAGTAGCTGACTACAGCTACACGTGTCAACAATAAATGGGGCCTGGCTGGCTGTGTTAATTTATCTAGCGAAGGACTTCTGAAATGTGCAGCGCGTTGCACATCAAGCGATGCGTACCTCAACTTGGTCCTTGAGCTCTTTGATGTAATCTACAGCAAGATCCAACATGTCCGACGTATTTGTTTGCTGCACATTCAGGAGAAACACTAATAAACACACTGAAGAAATGGAAAGCCACAAACAACGAGAACTGCTAGATTCAGTTGTTTATCGAGTCTTGAGTTTCAGCAATTCCGCGGGAATAACCTACGGATGATAATGGCTATGGCTTATTGCAATTAATCAGCTTAATTTACCTTGTCCATGTTGGGCACAAGATCTAGCAGCTTCTTCAGCCTCTTGCTAATCTTTGTTCTTCTTTCCTGAACGTCAATCAACAAGGAAAACAAAATTGATTTCAGTTTTAACATCCAGTGTCAAAGTTGCATTGACAGCATTGCATACTTTGATACTACTAGCGCTTTAGCAAATGAGTTGGGAACTGAACCAACCCTCTCAGCAATGCTCCGCGGGTGAGTTGCGCAGCCACGCTTAGCACGGACTCTGCAGGCGACGGAGTCCTGCTGCAGCTGCAGGTAGTCGTCCATGCCGGGCAGCTCCAAGGACGAGTTGGACAAGCCGAACTGGACATACATAGCAAGCAAAAACAGCGTACTCCCATCAGCACGGAACCACACCATCGATGATGCCGGGGCACGGCAAGGCAAGAGCGGGCGCGCGCTGACCTGCGAGTCGATGTTGCTGAAGCTAGTGACCATGTCATCGGCGGGTCTTCCTTGGGCTTCTTGCTGGGGACGAGAACATGATGGAGTTGGTGTCGTCCCAGGAGCTGACGGAGAAGTTCATGGAGAGGTAGGAGGAGGGCTGCGCCTGCGCGCCGCCGCCGCCGCCGTCGCTGGAGCTGTTGCATCCGCCGGCGACGATGCTCTCCCCGATGTCGGGTATCATCCCCATCTCGGAGATCTGCGGCAGGTCCTGCCTGGAGAAGCTCCACTGCGAGCTGAGCTGCCGGTGGCCGTGAGCCATCGCGGCGTCGGTGCCCGCCTGCGAGTAGCTCCCCATCCCTCCGGTCGCGGCCATTCCTGCATCAGAAAGAATTAACACGTCAGCTGTGCTCGTGCATGTCGCAACTCGCAAGACCCAACCATCTGTTCTGTTCATCAGAATCGAAATGATGACTCATGAGAGGAAGCAGCTTAACCGTTCGTGGAGTTGTAGCTGACCCGTGCCCACATGTCAGTGACCGTTCGTGGAGTTTGAAGTAAAAAAGGCATCCTTTTGTATAATTATTGATTCATTGACGCTGTTTTTTTAATAATTCCTTTCATTTTAGGGGGGACATTTTACCATTGCTAGACAGATTTGTTGTTCTCGAATTCTTTCGGCTAGTGGTTACCATTGTTAGAAAGATTTGTTCCCCGAAAGCTGGCTGTTGCCATCGATCTTTTTATGCTATATAAGGCTGACGCGTTCCACACAACTCCCACTATCCCAAAATAAAAGTCATTCTCGCTTTCAAAAAAGTCAGTTTTTTTACTTTGACTAATAATATATAAAAAATATTAATATTTATAATACATAATTAGTACAACCTCCATACTAAAAAAAATGTAGTCGCTTTCGATAAGGCTGGGTCAAACATTAAGAATATAAATCATGAATAACTTTTAAGTTGTTGAGTTTGAAAATGTGAAAACCATATGTATAGATTTGTCTTGAAAAATGCTTTCACAAAAATTTACATATATCACTTTTTGATAAATATATTTATAAAAATAAATAGTCAAAGTTATGCTTTGAAGACCGTGTCGCTGTCCAAAACGACTTTATTTTTTAGTATAGAGGGAGTATCATTAAATAGAACGTTGAATATACTATCATAATAAATTTATTTAGAGATATAAATATTGCACGTATTTTCTACAAATCTAGTCAAAGTTGAGAAAGTTTGGTCAGTACATATTTCATAACGTCGTCTATTCTGGGACGAAAGGAATACGTGCTGGCAAAATGCTAGAAATGAATTTTCAAACCCAACAAGACGTCAAGACCGTATTATTAATTCGGTTTCGCGATTTTCTTCTTCTTTATGTACTCTAGTGGAAAAGTCGTTGGAGGAACGGTGCGACAGGTGACAATCGGCGCCCAGGTTCGCCGTTGCTACGTCCGGATTCGCAATCGCAGCGGGACGGGCGGCCACGAACGGTCGCGTCACGTCACGGACGTCGGCAGCATATACGAACCTGGATGGGAAAGGCCGCTTGGTCTGATCTGGTATTGGCCACGCCGATTTCAGATTTTCAGTGCATTGCAACTGTCACTAGTCACTACCGAAGCCCAAAGGGCAAAGGCACCATTCTTAAAAAATTAAAGCCTTGGCCGCATTTAGTTTGCCTCCTGAATCGGCGCCGCCGGAATTTCCAGCAGTGTAGCTACACTGTAGCGTTTTGTTTTTATTTGGTAATAATTGTCCAATAGTTGACTAATTAGGTTTAAAACGTTCGTCTCACAAAGTACAACCAAATTGTGCAATTAGTTTTTGATTTCGTCAACATTTAGTACTCCATACATGTACCGCAAATTTGATGTGACGGGAATCTTCTTTTTACATAGTGTCAAAGTTAGGAGTTTCGATGAAACTAAACATGGCCCGTGCCTGGCGGTGATCGACTCGCGTCAGAATGACGAGTCAATGGTACGTATTGGTATGCGACGATGAGGTGATCAATACTTACTAGACTACTCAATTACAGTAGGAATAACTGATTTGCGATAAATAGTAGACGGAGTTTTGTTTGTTAAGGGCGTGTTTGCTTAGAGACCAAAACATAGACATGTCAAAGGTCGGTCATGTCACAGTTTTTTTTTTTTTTTGCAACTGCTTGGTTCACTATCATAGCTATGGAAGGCTGAACTTTCCTGGTCACAGACCAAACGTGCCCTTAATCACGCATCATCGGAGCAACGACGACGCAACGCAATTGGGCGAGCAGAGCTGGAGAGGAGTATTATTCTACGGTCACCGGGCACATGCCAGCCACCCAAATCAGCGAGGCGAGAGCGAGACCAAAGACTTGACCAACATTTACCGCGCTGAGTACGGATCACTAGCTAGCTTAGCTGAAGCTGAAAGTGCAATAATTACAGTTACCGTCATGTACTCTATGCAGTACTGCTAGTTACTGCTACTCCTACTCCTACCTTGGATTCAAATTCAACGTGCTCCTAATTACCGTAAGCCGGAAACGATGATCGAGACACGAGCTGGATGGAGTAGGCAAGCGGGCAATCGGCGAGGCGAAGAGAGCATACGTACCGTGCGGGTCGCCCATGAGGCGGGAGAGCAGCCCGGCGGGGAGCTGCTGTGGCGGAACAGCGGGGAGGCCGCCGGAAGCCGCCGCCAGCGGGTGCTTCTGATGCTGTTGCTGCTGCTGCGGCGGCGGCGGAGGCACGCGGATCTCGCCGGAGCCGCCGTACGCACGCTCGAGGGGAGGCGGCCGTCCGCCGCCGTCGGTGCGGCAGCTGGACTCGCAGGAGGTGAGCCCCGAGGACTCGGCGGAGTAGAACCGGCTCACGGGCGGCGGCGCGGGGTCGCCGCGGGTCACGGACTCGGCGATGGCGGCCAGGAGCGAGCCCGGCGCGGAGCCGTACCGCGCCAGCCCCTGCGCCTGCCCCGAGGGCGGCCGCATCGCCCCGTTCTGCGCCGGCGTCAGGCGGTTCAAGTTCATGGCTGGCTGCTGGCTGCTGGCTGCTGGCTCCGCGCGCGCGATAGCTCGCTCGTGGAGTGTTGTTGCTACTGCTGCTCTGCTCGGCCCTGATCGATCCGGCTCCGCCTGCCTGCCTGCCTGCCTGTGGACTGTGGTGCGTGTGTGCGTGCAGTGCGAGCGAGGAGGATGTGCATGTGCGGTGGCCTCTGGCCTGGCTGCTGCTTTTGAGCGCGGCGTCCGGAGCCAGGGGGGATGGATCAAGGTCTCATGGATGGACGGGTGCACTGCACGCACCTCGTTTGGGGGACCCACCCGAGAAGTACGACAGAGGAAAGTTGTGACAAAACCAAAACCGCATCCGGAGTATACCGCACCGGTTTTGTGTGTTTCGCCACCCCTGCGTCGCGATATGGTTAGCGGTGGTTTAGGTAACGACCGTACCCCCGGCCCCGCCCGCTCGCTGTCCCTCTCGTCGGTCTGGGCTCATCTGGATCAGAAGCATTATGCGGCTTTTTTTTTCTTCATTTTCAACTAGTGCCAAGTCACGATCGTTGAAATCGGACATTTTATTTATTCCCTGGCAAGGCTCGTCCACGGCGGCAATAAAAGTGCTCTTTTTGTGTCCCCTGTCTTTCCAGCAGGCGCCGCCGCGTAGATTCGGCTCCGGCGACAGCCACGCACGGGGCACCACCGCGCAGTGCAGGCGTGCGTGCACACGGACGCGCGGCACCGCCCACCGGGCGGGGGTCTTGCCCTCTTGCTCGCTTTGCCTTTGCCACACCCATCCATATTCCGTTCCGGTTCCCCATGTGGGCGGGGAAAAGTACGCTCGCAGCACGACGGCGGCGCTGCCCCTGGGACGGGGAGGCTGGAGGCAGACAGAGCGGCATGCCAACCAGCCTTTAGTTTAAGGTGACCGGGATGCCGGATGCCAATGTACAGTACTTTGTAACCGTAGATTTCTGCAAGGGCTCGTTTAGTTCGCGGTTACGAATCAATATTTAATATGAAGATTTTCGTTCAGATTTAATAATTATCATTCAATCATACCTAACCAGCCAAAAGATTAAATCTCGTAATTTACAATCAAACTGTATGATTAATTATTTTTATCTACATTTAATACTCCACGACGCATGTGTCAAAAGATTTCATGTGATGGAGATAGAACGAAAAAACTTAGAATCTAAAAAAGCGCATATATATATATATATATAGCCGCCATAACGTGCGTCGTACGTACGTGCACGGGCTGGAGCGCCCTGGATCTGGGCTGTTTTTTTTCTTCTTCTTTCCTACTTGTATTTGGCATGCACGTGGCCATGTAGGCAATTTTTTCACTTGACTGGACGGACGGTGTCACGTTGGGCGTGGACCCGATGATCCGATCCAGTTGCTCCTTCAGTTATATCGAGATTAAGGCGTGTTCGATTCAGGGCCATACGTTTTAACCCACCTAAAGATTCAAACAATTTCTCGTGTCCAGTTCTAGGATGTGATCTCAAACCACGTATATCGATCATGTATGTCTATTTGTGTACGAGGTACGATAATGATAGGGTCAGAGCGTCCGATGGACGGACCCTTCGCTTAACGGTCCTAGGACCGCCCAGTAACTCGCCCCAAGTAACATAACATTTCCTACTACTCTCTCGTTCGTCGACCACTACTTCCACGGAGCCGTCCGTCCCACGGTGCCGAGATTCATCAGGTAATCCGCCCACCGCGCTAACGGTTTTATTTCACGACGAGGGCATGTTTCATAAAATACTTGAAATGGTTTCGCCAACATATAAACTGTCGGGAAAATTCTTAATCGTCGGCGAGATCTTAACTGTCGGCAAAGGGTTAACTGTCGGCAAAGGTTTCAACTGTTGGCGTGAGGTAGACCGCTTTTGCCTACACATAAAGTGTCGGGGATTCTGTTAATCTGTCGGCAAAAGTTTCGCCGACGGCTTCTAGCGCGATTGTTTCTAAACTGTCGGCAAAACTTTTCATGGAGGTTATCTGTCGGCAAAGGTGCCCTTTGCCTACAATAGAAAGTGTCGGCAAAAGTATGTTGTGTTATAGTGCCAGCATTTTCCAAGGTGTGTGTGGCTGACAGCAGTGACGATCATATGAGTTGGAGTAGAAAAAATAGTTAAGCCGTCCGTCTCTCTCTCCCCTTTCCTCACTGTCACGTGGGAAAAATAGTAATTTGATTTCCATATGAGTTGGAGTAGAAAAAATATAGAAGTTGGATGTCCATGTAAAACACAAATAGGCAAAAATTGAATAAAAATATGAAAAATTAATTGGTTGGTCTTCAAATGAATTAGGAGGAAAAGTGCCTAATGTAGCTAAATACGTAGTCCATATAAATTATAATTAGTAATAAATACTTAAATTCTACAATGAAATTTACAAAATATAGTAGTTTCATTTCCATATGTTAGAAAACAAACGCCAAAATAAAATGTAGTGCATTACTATAAGTAAATAAAGTTTTAAAAATTCCTAACTCTCAAGTAAAAGAAAACTACTACATTGACCTTACACCCTGTTTGGTTCCCATGAATTGAGAGGAAAGGAAATGTAATCTAACAATAAAATAAGAACTTTCTAGATTTTGGTTTCAATTCATGAGATCCAAACATACCCTTATAGATCCAAATTATAACAATCTACATCTATAAAAAGATACAAGGAAAAATAAATAACGAATCCAATATGGATAGAATAGATATGGGAAAAATAAGTATATCGAATTCAATCAACATTAAAACTAGATTTCACTACGTTAAAAGAAGAAGAAGGAACTTGTAGTATCAAGGATACTGACTAGACGAGGTGAACAAGCGGTCTCAACTAAATTACAAACACTAGGAGTCTAGGAAATAGGAATGACATAGGTAGCAGGCCTGAGATCGGTCAATTGATTCTATGATACAGATGTGTGGAAAGCTCATGAACAATACAATGGTTATTGTTCAGGTTTTTTCTTCACGAGAAACTGGTCACCGGTGGAAACAAATGGGCAGTGTGTAGTGCGATAGAATGACATAGGTAGCTGGCCTAAAATCGGTAGCACACTGAAAATTATCTAAAATTCAAATTTACAAAGGGGCTAGAAATTAAATATTTCGTGAGGAACTTAAAAGCAGTTTTACCTATGAATGGTGATCACCCAGTGATCACCAAGATCCAATAGGAACTAAAGGCCACCTTGATCTGGTCAACCAACTAGCTAGAGGGTGTCATGACAAATATAGCGACATGCAGTTATGAACAGTTTGTTTAATCGTCTTGTCCCAACTCCCAGGCTGCACAAAATGCCTGGAGTGAGTCTCGTGGGGGCCCAACCAAGAGGGTGGGAAACTGGGACGGAAAACCACGTATCCATAGGTCCTTTGAGCACCCAAACTGGCGGCTGCCGCCTTCCGGTTGCCACTTGCGACGAACGATCGTATACTCTACAGTACCACTACTAATTAGTAACGGTGAACAACTGAACGGCCTTGATCGCGATGCTCGCGACTGTAAAACAAGTGTTTAGCGCCCCCCAACCCCCAAATGGGAGTAATTGGCACGGAGACCAGCTGCAGATGATCGATGTGATGCGCTGTGCACTTGCAACCGGCCGCGCCGGGACAAGTTGGCAAGTTGCTCATGCAGCGGCCGATCCGGGGGCTCCGGAGGCGGAGGCCCAAGAGGCCAGGACCAAGTGGCGGCGCTCGCCGCATCAGCATACCTGGCAGCTCACGGGCCACGAGCAAGTGGCACGGCCGGCACCCGGCAGGCGGGACGGGAGCGCCAAAGCCAAGTACGTATTTATTGGAAAGCTCAATCGTGGATTCGTGGCGCGCAGCCAGCCCACGAACGGGTAGCTCGGATGTGGCCACGTACGCACGTATTACCAAGGTAACAAGTCAAGGCGCGCGCCGAGTTCGGAACTGACAAGTTGCACGAACGTAGCCTTTGCTTTTGCTCAAAGTCGTCTAGCTCCTCCGTTGGAAAATCAAGAAATTTTATAATTGTTTTTTTTGGGGGAAAGTCAACTAGCTCGAGCTCAGATGGTGTCTGGTTCGAGAGCTCGTATATAGGCAGCGTGGTCAGCTCCGGGAGTTGACAACTGATTGCCTTGCCTTTTGTTGAAACTTGGAAGTCGTGGTGGAGTACCAAATAAAATAAAAAGAAAGTCAGATAAGCTTCAGCTGTACTGGAGTGTATAGTATTATTACCTGTGCTAGCGTGCCGACCTTGAGCTGGATGGATCTCCTTTTCTTCTTGTACCTACTTTAGTTACTTGATTGATTCAGCAAAACCCAACACTCTCGGCCTTCCAGTTCCACGATCCAAACCCATCGTCAAGTCTTCGCTGTGTGCATGTGTACGTCTGAGAGAGCAAGCAGGCAGGCCGCAGACAGGCAAAATGCGGCGACCTCCATGTACTCGGCCGGGCCTTGGCAACCCAGGGAATAGGGAATAGGGATGCAAGCGGGCCTGTCTGCAGGTGCTCACCACGCCACCGCATGACCTGCCTCCAGAATCTGCTTGCTCTGCAGGACCCGCCAACTCGTGCTTTGCTAATCGCCACCTCCTGTTAGGCTTTGCAGTAATAAACAACGAGAGACCTGCAGGAGCCTGCATGCCGGTCCGCCACGCCGAGTATAGCAGTAGCACACGCATTCCCCAAACTGCTGATTTCCCAATTCAAATTCTCCAAACAACCTCGCGTATCTTCCTTCCTGCTCATCGTAGCCGACCCTGAACGCCACGTCGCCACCCACCATAGTACAGCTTTGTCCCCGTGGGCGATCGAGGGCGTGCCGTCGCCTGACCTCGTCCCATCTAGCAGTAATATGGATTTCCTTGGTGTGCTGTTGTATGTGTATGAACGACTGTCTATAAGAGCCGTTCCAGGGCATCAGGCTCGGCGACGCCGAGGAGGCCAAGTACACGGCCATGCACGACGAGAGGCGCAGCCACGCGGCGAGGCAAGACACGGCCTGGGTGAAGCGCGCCGATGCCACGGCGGCGAG